TCATGCATGCTAGGTGAACACTCTACCAACTGAGCCATTTCCCCAGCTCTGACTTCCACTGGTTTTGGGGGGTATCATAGAAAAGGCAAAAAGAAAATAAAGCCTGATAATAATAATGATAATCCCATACTCAAAGTATTCATGAAGTCACATTTCCATATAGCCTAAAAAAAATACATAAGCAAACCTGCACTATAGAAAACACAAACATTGTTGATTTCTCGATTCTCTTAACCTACCAAACTGAAACACAGCATGTTAACCTGAAAGTGGGTACCTCTTCCATTACATTCAACAAGCCCACCAGAACAGTTGGAAGTATATCCTCCCTTCCCATTTTTTTCTCGCTGTTGGAGGTGCTTACCGCCTGCGCGTAAGGTCTAGATTGGGCGTGGCCTGGTTCTTGGGGTGGCTCTTCCTGCTACCACGCAGGAGATCCTAGCAAGCCGTATTGGCGCGCATGGTTTCTCTTGTCCTCTTTGCCTTAATGGGCACAATTGTATTCTCCACTCTCCAGCATCTTGGCTGGGTTAGAACTGGTCTGGGCAGTGGTTCCAAATGTAGCCATGAAGAATTAGAGGATTGTAGGGTCTAAACTCTCAATTTGAATGGCTTACCTTTATTTGCAGTTATGGTGTGGTGGCGCATGCCTTTATTCCCAGCACTTGGGAAGCAGAGGCAGGCGGATCTTTGTGAGTTCGAGGCCAGCCTGGTCTACATAGTGAGTTTCAGGACAGCTGGGGCTACAGGGAGACCCTGTCTCAAAATAAACAAACAAAACAAACAAATAAATTGATCTGGCAAAAAAAAAAAAATGTAAAAAAATTTTGCTCATCTGATTTGGAATTAAAACTGGTCAAATCGCCAGGTACTTTACTTGAAGGAATTTATCTTTTGAAGGGTTGTATTTGAAGAATTGTAGAACCTATATACTATTAGGAGCTATCGCTGTTAAATTGGTAGCATGCTTGCTTAGCACACATGAAGTCCTGGATTTGATTCCCCAGCACTATACAAACTAGGTGTGGTATGACATACTTGTAATTCTAAGCACTCAGGAGGTAGAGGCAGAATATTAGATATTCAAGGTGATTCTCATCTAGAGTTTGAGGCCAGCCTGGGATACATGAGGCTTGTCTCAAGAAAAGAAAAAACATTATGCATTATTGTGGGTTTTAGGAATAACAAAGCATTTGACTGAAAATGTCTGGGCTTTTTTGTATAATTAGATTGCTGCTGTCAGATGCCTGAAGCAACTATTCCAGTTTCACAGTATACTCTTAAACACCAAAGTATTATCAATAGTAACATTTTCACCAATCTGCATATTTCTGATCCTCTTTATTGCTAGGTACTGTCTCTCAGATATAGCAGATCTTTAATTTTTTAATTTCTTTAGATACTTTCAAAATGTGTATCTATGTGGTTTAATGAGAGAACAAGCTTAATTGATAACTTTCTGCTGTGTTGAGAACCTGGGTTGTCACTGGTTTTGAATGAAACCCTATGGGGCCTATACAGTGGGGTGTTTGTGGTACATGTTTTGGACCATGTATTTAAGAAAACATGGAGTGTTTCAATTTGGTAGGTTAAGAGAATCAAGAAATCAACAACGTTTGTGTTTTCTATAGTGCAGGTTTGCTTATGTATTTTTTTTAGGCTATATGGAAATGTGACTTCATGAATACTTTGAGTATGGGATTATCATTATTATTATCAGGCTTTTTTTTCTTTTTGCCTTTTCTATGATACCCCCAAAACCAGTGGAAGTCAGAGCTGGGAAAATGGCTCAGTTGGTAGAGTGTTCACCTAGCATGCATGAAGCCCAGGGTTCAGTCCCCAGTACTGCATAAAACCAGGCTGCATAAAACAGGTCTGTAATCTCTGCTCTCAGGAGATAGAGGCTGGAGGATCAGCAGTTCAAGGTCATCCTTGGGTATATATAGCCACTACTCCTATAAAATCTGACTTCCTCTGAACCTAGTGTCTCAAATGCTTCTTAGAATTCTTACTCCAAATGAAGGGTTTCGGTTGGATAAAGACAAAGCACATAAATAGCCAGGGACTGGTTAGCTCTCTTGCACTAAAAGCTAACAGGTGTCATATGTCACATGGGAAAACAGAGATCAAATCAAGGAACATTTTTTTTGTGGTGGTTTTTATTATATGTGTATGAGTGTTATGCCTGCATGTACATTAAGTGCACCCATGTTGTACAGTGTCTGCAGAAAACAGAAGAAGGCATCAGATCCCCTGGAACTGGAGTTACGGATGGTTGTTAGCTGCCATGTGGGTACTAGGTTTCAAATCCCTGTCTTCTATAAGAACAGCCACCGCTCTTAACTGGGAACCTTTAGAAACACTACATTTTCCAGCATGGTTGCACTTGTCTTTAATCTTAGCAGTCAGGAAGCAGAGGCAGGCACATCTCTGTGAGTTTGAGGCCAGTTTGGTTTTTTTTGTTGGGTTTTTTTTTTTTTTTTTTTTTTTTTTTTTTTTGGTCTTTTTGAGACAGGGTCTCCCTGTAGCCCCAGCTGTCCTGGAAATCACTATGTAGACCAAGCTGGCCTTGAACTCACAGAGATCTGCCTGCCTCTGCCTCCCAAGTGTTGGGATTAAAGGTGTGCACCACCATTTTCCATCTTTAAAAAAACAAAAACAAGGTCTCACTAACATAGTCCAGCTATGTAGTCCAGACTGGCTTCAAACATGCAATCCTCCTGTCTTTGCCTCGAGGGTTCTAGGATTACAGACATGTGTTACCACACCCAGGTAATGCACTTCTTTGGTACAGGACTTTTCTAGACCTTTATCACTAATGATAGTATTCTCTAAAAGGAAGGGAGAGTATTTAATGATTCCCAAGCTTATTTTCCTGAAGAGTTTGATGCCATTGGGGATATTGAATGCTAAAGACTGAACTCAGAGCTAGATATAGATGAAGTATATACTCTACCACTGAGCTACATTCCCTCCCAGCCATGATGGTATTTTTTTTCTTTTTTAAGATTTAGGGGGCTCGGCTAGAGAGATTGCTCATCAGTTAAGAGCGCTAACTTCTCTTGCAGAGGACCTGGGTTCAATTCCCAGGACCCACATGATGGCTAACAACCATTTGTAACTCCAGTTCCAGGAGATCCAACGCCCTCTTCTGCTCTTCTGTCCTCCACGGCACTGCACGACACAGGTGCACTTACACACATGCAGATATACACTCATACACATAAAACTAAAATAATAAATTTAAAAAAAATGATTGAGGGGGCTAGAGAGATGGCTCAGCAGTTAAGAACACTGGCTGTTCTTGCAGAAGACCCGGGTTCCAATTGAGCAACTACATGGCAGCTAACAACCATCTGTAACTCCAGTTCCAGGGGATCCAACACTCTCTTCTGTCCTTCGAGGGCACTGCATTACATGGGTGCACTTACATACATGCAAGCATAGCACTTGTACACATGAAATAAAAATAAACTATAAGAAGATTTATTTTTATTATTTTAATTATGTGTATGTTTACATATGTGTCTGTGTATGCATAGGTGCACCTGAGTGCAAGTGCCCACAGAGGCCAGACATGTCAGATCCCCCTGGAGCTAGAGTTACAGGTGGTTATTAGCCACCTGACATGGGTAATAGGAACCAAACTTGGGTCCTCTGCAAGAGCAGTATGAGCTTTTAACCACTGCGTCATTTCTCCAGCCCTTATTTTTGTTTCTAGTTCAGTATTACCAATTAGCCTTCATCAGTAAGGCATATTCTGGGGAACATACGTCGAGAACCTCTGGTTAGAAGTTAGAATGAGCCTTGATAAAACCTCACGAATAGTTTTTAACTCCCAGATACTCCAATTAGCCCCTGCTATGGTTTGGATGTAGTTTATATATATCCCTCCATGTTCATGTGTAGAGGTTCATGTGTAGAGGACTGTCCTCAGTGTGGCAGTGTTGAGGGGCTGTGCACTTTCATGAAGAGAGGCCAGAATGAGGTCCTGGGTTGTAAAGGTGCTGCACTCAGAAGAGATTATTCCTACAACCCTGTGATAGGACCTGTAGGCATGGGTTGTTACAAAAGCTTGAACCTAATCCCTGAGTCACTGTCTGCTTCCTGTTTCACCACATAGAGGTTTCCTTCTTTTCATCTACCAAGAGTTCCTCACCAGCACCGTGCCATGCCTTTGAATTCTTGGTACACGGTAGCCGACCCAGTTTCTTGTTATAGTGATAAAAACTGGCAAACACAGTTCCCATCTCACCCTTTTTAAAAACTATCCATTCTCAAATTTAAGGGGTAAGTGACCAAAATAAAGCAAAGGGTCAATTGATACAGTTTAATTTTAAGTCATCAAATGATCTCATAATCGGTTTCGGGAAAAGTCAAAAAACTAAGAAGAAACGATATATTTGTAAAGATAATTATCAATGTTTTCAGGTTTCAAAAAAAATCAAAGTAGAGATCAAGAAAGCTCAAACAATAATATATGCAAAATAATGTAATACTGAATAATTAAGACGGCCTTATGATCTATGGTAACTGGAAAACGCAAAGATATAATAACTCCCCCCCCAAAAAAATAGCATATACAACACCAAATAACCAAGTAGTGGACATGTAGCACCATGCAGATTGAACCACACCATATCAGTGATTATATATATAAACGGGCTAAATGCTTACTTACATTAGCTTGGTAGAGCTACTGTGACAATGTACCACATTGCCTACCACCACCCAATTTTGACCATTGACTCTATCTTTAAAACCATAAGTACCCATCTTCAAACACAAGCCTTAGGAACAAAACAATCCCTGTAAAATCACACAGAAGCACTAACTTATATTTCTACCTTCATATAGAAACGCTATCAAAATGTAGGCAGCTGCTATTATGGGGAAAATTACCAATGACCCAAAGCCTGAATACACCAAGTTCAAACTGGATGGATATAAATCAATTCGATTTGAATATTTAAAGAATTATATTGTAAAGGAAGACTTACCCACAGAAGCTGAATTTTTAAGACCCGACTCCTTCGGGACTCCTTTTTCAATTCGTAATGTGGCCCACTGTTCAAAAACAAGAAGCACGTATTTAAACTCTTCCACAGACACAATGGGAAACACTGAAGTCATGCTCACATAGAAATGACCTTAAACACTAAGCCCAACACTTTCTGAATTAGAGATACTCCGGGAACCTCTGAGGTAGCAGTAGGACTAGTCCAACACATGCTCCTGTAAGAGTCACTGATGGTGCCCTAATAGACACGCCTGTGCTCTAACACACACTTCTTGAAAAAGTTGTGCAGTATGTAGGCTAAGACAGACATGCGTGTACTCTAATACACACTTCTTGAAAAGGCTATACAGTATGTAGGTCAAGACCATAGGTTATGGCATCAATGATGTCTGGTTTGAGAAGGCCAGGTAGCTCAGTGGAAGAGAGCTTGTCTGACATACACCGGGCCCTGGGCTCTATTCCTAGCACTGTAAAATAATCAGTAATATCACTCAAGAAAACCATGTCACCTTGTTCTTTACTTATTAAGATGCATGACTATGAGGATTATCAGGTTTTAGAAAATATAAGAACTGGCATAACAACTATCACCTTGTTCTGACTGGAGCTAAAAGTGTATGAAAATGTCAAGATTCTTTTTTTAATGGCCATTTAGGCTCATTTATTTCACATAGGAAAAGTCACAAGATCCTCTAAGTTCACAAGATGCATAATGTGCCAATGTCAGAATAAGATCTGAGGGAGGCACATGCCACTCAACTGTGTGACTACCTAATCACCCCACTTATAAACCAAAAAGAGCATCCCAAGGTAGGTTTGCCATACATTTTTCATACATTTCCTTTCTTTTCCTTATTTTTGAGACAGGATATCACTTTGTAGCTTTGGCTGATTTAGAACTCACTCTGTAGACCAGGCTGGGCTTGAACTCACAGAGAGCTACCTAACTCTGCCTCTAAAGCACTAAAAGCATGCAGCCACGCATTGAACTTTTTTTTAACTGGGAACAGAACTCAGGGCCTGCAGGGTGCTAGACAGGTAGACAAGCGACCCTGGCTGAGCCATGCTCCCAGGCCCTCCACCTTGAACTTCTGGTCTTCCTGCCTCTGCCTTTCTTCCCAGCACCAGGATCATGGCAGCCCTGGAAGACTACATACAGTGACATTCTTCAAATACCAAATCACACCCTCAAAGAGCAAGAGGACTAAACTACAAAGAGCCTTTGGGACTACATGAGGGAGCTCTAAAGAAATCCATACAAAATCCAGACTGTGCTGGAGACAAACAAACTTCAAGGCTGGAGAACCAGCCCTTCAATGCCAAAGGGAATTTGTAGAGCATAGCTATTTCCTCCTTTGGGGTTATTCTCAGGTGAAAGAGAAAAGCGTTGCAGCCAGCCACATTTACATGGGACTCAGTCTTCCTATTTCCCAGCTGAGACCTTAAGCTCTTGGGGCATCTGTTTCATCATCCTTGCAGCAGGTCAACACCAAAGGTGGCTGTAAAGATTAATGAAAGCCAAGCCTGGTGACACAGACAGGCCTGTGATCTCAGTTATTTGGGAAGTTGCAGCTGGATCATAAATTTAAGGCCTACCTGGATTAGAGTGAGTTAAGGCCATCCTGGGCAATTTAGTGAGACTCTCTCAAAATAGAAAGTAAAAAGAATACTGGAGAGATGGTTCAGTAGAAGAAAGCCCTTGCCTAGTATGTGCAAGCCTTGAACTCAACCCCCAATACAGGGATGTGGGGAAAGGGGAGGTGTGGGTATTAAATGAGAAACTACCTTGTGTCCACTAGATGGTAGGCCACAAAGCAGACTACGATATAATGTTTCTTCCTCCCCATACCTCACACTTGATTTAGGTTCCCAAAATGAGCAGCATTTCCCCTGTCGGTGCATCTCCTAACAGGTAGCTATTTTTCTTTTACCATGCCAGCTTCTCTGTTGAAGGGAGTAAGCCCAAATACAGAGGCAGCACAGCTCTTAGGAGGGTTCTAAGTCTCTTCAGGGTGATCTCAGCACACTTCTTCCACAAGGCCCCAGAAGAGTAACTCTATGGGCCAGAGTACCCTAAAGTACAGAAGCAGCTTTTAACAACCTCCACTACTGCACCCCACAGAAAGCTAAAAGGCATTTAGCTCTGTCAGGCCTTTTCATTACTTAATTCCAAACCCTGTAAGAGAAAAGGTAGCTGTCCAAAATTCATTTTTAAAGTTTGTTTCAAGCCTGATTTAAAATTTAAAAAAAAAAAAGTCTCATGTACCCCAGGCTATGTAGGTGAGAATAACCTTGAACTTCTAATCCTCCTGCCTCTAGACTGCTGGGATTAAGTGTTCTTCTGTGCCCAGGTGCCCAGTTTATGTGGTGCTGAGATTAAAACCCAGGGCTTGGTAGGCAAACACTCTACCAACTGAACTACATCCTCAGTCCTCAAATCTGATTTAAAATTTAAGCCAAAGGTTTGAAAAATTACAAAGCTCTCACCTAGACAATTATAACTTCCAGTGTCTTTAGAGATTGATTTTTATAGCCAGGCATGGTGGCACATGCCTATAATCCCAGCACTCGGGGAGGCAGAGGCAGACAGATTATCTGTGAGATCAAGGCTAACCTGGTCTACATAGTGAATTCCAGGCCAGCTGGAGCTATAGGGAGACCCTGTCTCAAAAGAGACAAAAAAAATTTTTTATTTGTGTGTGTGCGTGTGTGTATACATGTGTATGCAGGTGCCTCAGAGGCCAGAAGAGGCCATCAGATCTCCTGGAGTTAGTTACAGGCAGTCGTGAGCTGCCTGATGTGAGTTCTAGGAACTGTACTTGGGTCTTCTGGAAGAGCAGTTAGTACTCAATGCTGAGCCATCTCTCCAGCCCCTGGTAAACTTAAGTCTCCAAAGAATACTCTAGAGACTAAATGGAAAGAATCAAACTGAGACCTTACGAAAGAATGAGCAGCAGAAGTGCTAGGTCTACAAAGTGAATTTCTGTAAAAGGTAACCTACAGAAAAGCACAGCACCCAGAACTAAAGATGTTCCAATACTGAACAACTGCGGTGATTCTTAAGGGAATTATCCCCATTGTTAAGGAAAGCAAGCCAGTGTACCAACCCCAGCCTAAGTCTCTGAAACAGCTAACATTGTTCTGGGCGAAGGATGTTAATCATACATTTCTTCCTGATAAGCTCCTGTTAGGAGCTCCAGGAAGCTATAACCAACAAATCAGCTGATTCACAAAATGAATCTATCCAAATTCCATGTATACCAAACACCACCCTCTAACTTGATAACTTAGTAATGAAGATAACTCCTTACATTGCCACCTACCTGGTTTCCAAATGTAATGGTACATCTCCCACTTTAACTAGAAGACTAACATTATTTAGGGGATGGTGGGAGGGAGGGGATAAAAAATACAATGTCAGGGCTGGAGAGATGGCTCAGCAGTTAAGAACACTGCTCTTGCAGAAGACCCAGGTTGAATGAATCCCAGCACCCACATGGCAGCTAACAACTGTCTGTAACTCCAGTCCCAGGGGATCCTACAGCCTCTTCTGACCTCCGTGGGCATTATACGACACGGGTGCACTTACTTACATGCAGGCAATACACATATACACATAAAATTTAAAATTTTTTTTAAATATGAAGGCATATGTATGAAAATGCCATAATGAAACTCATTATTGTGTATGATAACTTAACATTTTAATTAAAAGGCCTGGGGATGTAGCTTAGCTGACAGAGTACTTGCCTAGCATACATATAGTCTAGGTTTAATTCCCTGAACCAAATTATACCAGACAGTGTTACACGGCTGTAATCCCAGCACTTGGGAGGTAGAGGCAAGAGGATAAAAAAATTCAGGATCATCTTCAGCTAAGAGAACTCAGCCTGGGCTACATGAGCTCCTATCTCAAAAAAGGGTCTCTTAATAAAAAAAAAATTTTTTTTAAAGAAAAATAAAATTAACATTCTTAAGAAAACAAAATTCCTTGATTAGTAAGAAATTCATCTCTTAGACCAGATATGGTAACTTATGTCTATAACTCCAGCACTTTGGAGGCTGAGGCAGGAGGACTGTCACAAGTTTCAGGCCTACATACTGAGTTTCAGGCCAGCCAGGGCTACAGAGTGAGACCCTGAAGAGACAGAGATAGGGAGAAGGAGATAGAGGGGGAGAGGTAGGAGAGAAAGAGAGAGACAGACAGACTCAAAGTCTCTCCTTTAGCTCTAGATAGACAAAAAATAAAGCTTGGGGTCCTGTCAAACAATCTGCAGGTCAGAACCCGGACTGGAGATCATCTCACCAAATATAATAATTTGCCAGCTGGGAAAAACTAGCTGGCATCTCCCCTGGCCATCTCTCTAAGCTCTCCAGGAAGATTAAAGCAAGACACATGGGAGTGCACATCTGGAAGTCAGTGTGTGATTGATTCCTCTTCACCAGTTCTCCAAAAGATTGTGAGACCAGTTCATTATTTCATAGATCAGACAACACAGGAACAGGCTGAAGAGCATCACCTGCTATAGGGGGGAGCATTCTGAAGAACAACCAACGAGGAAAGACACTCGAACACAGAGCATAGTATGAACACACAGAAAGTAATGGCAACAAGAAAAGCCCAACAAGTAGAAAGAGAATTTTAAAACCCTAAGGGCTAGTGAGCACAGTGGTACATACCCTTTATCCTAGTGCTTGGGAGCCAAGGATGCAGTTCAAGGCCAGCCTGGGCTGCAGAGTAAGACCCTGTCTCAAAAATAAACAAGAGAAGCTGGGCACAGTGGCGCACACCTTTAATCCCAGCACTCGGGAGGCAGAGGCAGGCAGATCTCTGAGTTCAAGGCCAGCCTGGTCTACATAGTGAGTTCCAAGACAGCTGGGACTACAGGGAGACCCTGTCTCATAAAAGACAAATAAATAAAATAAAATAGAATAAAAAATAAACGAGAGGGGCTGGAGAGATGGCTCAGTGGTTAATAGCACTGACTGCTCTTGCAGAGGACCCGGGTTCAATTCCCAGCACCCACATGGCGGCTACGAACCGTCCTTAACTCCAGTTCCAGGAGAATCCGAAGCCCTCTTCTAACCGCAGCAATGCACCACATGGGTGCACTCACATACATGCAGGCAATACACTCATACACACAAAATAATAATAAAATAAATAAAAAATAAACAAGAGAACAAGGCGAGGTGGCACACGCCTTTAATTCCAGTACTCAAGAGGCAGAGGCAGGCTGAGATAGAGGCCAGCCTGATCTACATAGTGAGTTCCAGGATAGCTGTGGCTACAAGGAGACCCTGTCTCAAAAATACAATAAAAGGGGAGGGGAAAGTAGAGAGTAGGGCAGACTAGGAATGAAGATGTTAATATAACTTCAAGGCCTCAACAAAGAAAGAGACAGAAAGAAAAAGTTCAACAAGGATCTTAGAAAAGCAGGGCATTAGCAGGCATCAGGCAGCCCTGTGGGGTAGAGATATGCTTTTGAGAGCCACCCCACTACCAAGAAGGAAGAACAGGAAAAGCCAAAAAAAAAAAGCCTATGGAAGAACAGAAAGTTACAGCCAAAAAAAAGAAGGAAACTGTACTAGAAGGCAATGGGAAGCTGGAGAAACAAAGAGGCCCGAATCTAAGCAAGTATACTATTCCTTAAATAGAGATGAGAACCTAACACGCACAGGTACTCATTAAAACAACTACATGGAAAGCTAAGCGTGGTGGCTCCTGTCTGTAATAACAGCACTTAGGAGGCTGAGGCAGGTAGATTGCCAAGAATTCAAGGCCAACCTAGGCTACAAGAGTGAGAGCCTTTCTCAAAACACAAAACAAATTGTGTGGAAAAATAGGTGTTACTACTCCTGTTTTGCAGATGAGCAAAATAAAGTCCACGAGTCAGTTGACTTTGACCTTGATAGGTCACCTACTAGGATCTGGGTACTAAATCTAGGAGACCTGCACAGCCTACACCTCTCTTCTTTAAGACTGCTGTTTCCCACATTTAATGCAGACAAGGGCTGAACTCTTGAGTGTCTCAGGACACAGTGCTTGCCTCCCTGCCTCACACTGAAGACTTATCTAAACTGAAGTTGAAGTAGTCTACCTCCCCTCTCTTCCACTCAGTTACATCTAACACCTTTGTCTGCAGAATTTGTAAACCAAAGGAAGGGCAAGCTGAGGTCAAAGAAGACACCTTTGCAATGGCATTCGGGTGCCAATAGTTGGATACAATTTCCATGACTCCGCTAAAATGAAATCAGATTCTTTTTCTGTCACCCAGTCATTGCTTTTATCTTGGATGTTAGACAAAAAGGACCTCTGAAACCTGGGGCTGTAAAAACTAAGTGAAGTGACAGCCCCCACGGCATAGTGGATAACAAATCTGCTGCTACAGCAGGCGGCCGCGGGAGGGTTAACCTAGTAAGTAAAATAATAGTGTTGGTAGAACCCAGGAGGAGGGGGCGCTCCAGTAAAGTGGTCGGTTGTTCCCAGCTGGGATCAGCTTGGCTCTGCGAGGCAAGCAGAGATACGGAATTCCGAGCTACCGCGAGCCAGAAACCGAAAAACACAGGTCCCTGTCCCACCCCGACACACCCCGACCTCTGACCTTCTGAACTGCCCCTTGGGTCTCCTCAGCCATCACCGTTCTAAGCTCAGCCCCCGCTGCCCCAGCACAGCTGGGACTCGGCAACCTTCCGCACACTCACCTCCAATGTTTTCACCAGGATCTTCATGTAAATCTCCGAGATGCCCAGAGACAATCCGAAGGCGGAGGGCAGCAGGATGAGGCCGAGCACCAGCGTCAGCCAGATGGCCAGAACCTTCACCGCCAGGTCTGCGCCCTCCATGGCTCGGCGCGCCTCTGGGAGAGGTCCCTGGAGGAGATCCAAGTGACAGCTGTCCCCTGTCCCCAGGCAGTCCTCGCCTCAGCTCTGGAGCAGAGCTCCCTACTCAGCTGGGCTCCGAGTCAGCGCCACAGCCTCCTCGCCGCCCTCTGCCTGCGGGAAGAAGGAAGGGAAGAACTTCCAGAACTGCCGGGGTCTTCTTCCTCCTCCTTCTTCTCCTCCTCCTTAGGTCCCTCGCCCCCGCGTGCTAACTCTCCGCTAGAGGCCCAGGCGAAGCTGAAGCCGCAGAAGCTGGTACAGACCTGAGTGGCACGGGCGAGAGGACCCGGCTGGGGCGATCAGCGGACACCCCCCGTGCGGTCAGAGAGCACCTACGCAGCCAGGAACGCACCCCACTCGTGCCTAATTTCCTCACCATGGCGATTGCAACATCCCTGCGGTGACTCACCGAGGTCCTCCGGCAGCCAGGATCCCTGCAGGCGCCCGCACCTCCGTGCCCGCCGCGGACAAAGCTAGCTGGTGGCTCTCCAGCTCCGGGAGCCCTTTTTCTGCGCGCAGCCCTCGCTCAACCCCCTTCGCCACCCAACTGGGAGCTCCCGGGGCGCCACAGCCTGGGGAGCCACCGCCCCCGGCCCCACGCCCCGCCTCTCCCCGCCCCCTCCACACTCCCGGCGAAAGGTCCTTTCGGGAGCAGACTTTCCATCCTCACCCACAGAGTGGACAGCTGGCGCCCCAGAAGGTCTTGTTTGTAAGTGTGTAAAACCTCCTGGGAAGGGTTTCACTCAAAGGAAACTGCGAAGCTCTCACCCTACGGCTCCTGCTCTCCCGCACCGCCTTTTCCACCCTAGCCAGCTGCCAGCCTGAATCTTGCTAGTCAGGAATGGAGAAAAATCGCTTAGCTGTCTCCACAAGTCGCCTTAGACACTCAGCCACCACCTCCTGGGCACAGACTAGACCCAGAGGCCTGGCGGGGTGGTTGTAATCCCAGGCTGAGAAGGGAAGGTCTGAGTGGAAGATGAGCCTGGGATACCTACGGAGTTCCAACTTAGCCAGGGCTACTTAGCCAAGCCCCTGTATAGGACTTGTCTGAAAAACCAGAGGAGGAGAAGGGGAAGAGGAAACCCAGAGGCTATTTGTCACTCCCCTTCTGCATGCGTTTCCAACCTTATTACCCTTTTGTCCATCCAAACTCTGCTAAGAAAAGGCAGAAAATGTTATGTAGACGCTAACCTTCACTCGGCTGACGGGAGCTTCCTAGGGGTCCTCTCCTGGCGCAATGCTAGGTGCTAGCCCTTACTAGGGAGGGCAATGAACAGAAAATCCGCTGGAGCTCATGAGATTTTAAGATTAAGCACGAAGCAGGCGCAGTAGCGCCCGCCCTAAACACCTACACTCTGAGATTGAGGCCAGACTGGTCTATATAGCAAGTTCCAGGCCAGCTAGGGCTACTGGGAAGCCTTGTCTCAAAAAACAAAAACACGAGAAGAGATGTTGAGAGCCTTAATACAAAAGAAAATCAGATTGACCCGGGTCCAGATTACCACTAAATCGGCTCTAAATTTCTTAAGCATACCAAATTCACATCTTCGGGTTTTGTTGGGAGCTGGAAAAAGTGGGTCAGCAAACTGAATTCAGTGTTGATACCTAGTATAACAGAGACAATGCCCCCACCTCAAAGGAGTGTCAGAGAAGGAAGCCCTTCAAAAATGTAAATGTTTGCTCTCTCTGTACCCCCTGCCAGTTAGAGACAAACCCTCTCCCCTGTAAAGACTAGGGGGAAATAATGCAATTATGAATGAAAAAGTGTCAGAAGCTTAGTCTCTCAAAATGGAAAATGGGTTGGAAGAGATGGCTCAGTGGGTAAAGGGTAAAGGTGCCTCCTGCCAAAACTGAGTCCAATCCCCAGACCCATACAGTAGAAGGAGAAAACCAACTCCAGCAACTTGTCTTCTGACCTCCACAGGTGCTCCATAAGTAAGCACTCCATCACACACACACACACACACACACACACACACACACATGTACACAAAATAGATAAATGTATTTTAAATTTTTAAAGGAAATGCCTCTCCCAGGCATGGTGGAGAAAGCCTGTAATCCCAGGATTTGAGAAGCAGAGATAAGGATTTTAAGGCCAACCTGAATTACAAAAGACTATGTTGCTGTTGCTTTTTTTTTGGTCTTTTTGAGACAGGGTCCTCCTATAGCCCCAGCTGTCCTGGAACTCACTATGTAGAGCTGCTGGCCTTGAACTCACAGAGACCTGCCTGCCTCTGCCTCCCAAGTGCTGGGATTAACAGTGTGTGCCACCACGCCCAGCAAGACTATGTTTTAAAAAATAACAAAAATAATGCTGTTTGTGGTATTCCATGCCTTTAATCCCAGCGCTCACTGTGGAAGCTTGAAGATCTCTGTGAGAATAGGCCAGCCTGGTCTACAAATCAAGTTCCAGGCTAGCTGGGGCTATAGGGAGACCCTATCTTTAAAACAAAACAAAAAAGGAAGGGAGGGAGGGAGGGAGGGAGGAAGGAAGGAAGGAAGGAAGGAAGGAAGGAAGGAAGGAAGGAAGGAAGGAAGGAAAAACAAAAAGGAAACATCTATATATGGAAATAAGGAAAACACAATTGCTGGCAGACAGCTTACATATCTGAGTGTACACATGTGTGTTTATTATATATTTAGCACAAATTATCAGATTAGCCCACTTAACATTGTGTTCAGACAAAATATTTAACCTCCTTTATTTCCTCAAAATGACTAAGGAATGCTGAACAATTGCTCCAAAGTCCATCCAGCAAAGGAAACATTATAGCTCAGGCAGCCTTGTTTCTGTTCAGCCACACACTGGTGCTGAGTGCACACACTCTTCAGTAATTTTTATTGCTCATTACCAAGCTTGTGAACTGGCTTTGGTTTGGGACGTCTTTGTAAACAAAGGCAACCTGCTAGAAGGACAATTCTCCAAAATAGGCTCCCAAACAAAACAGGTGCTCACCTTGGCAATGGTAAAAAAAAAAAAAAAAGGAGAGCGTTGTCTTCAGCCCTTCCCTATGTCTGATTTCCCTTCTAAGAACCTTCCTCCCTGACTGCATCAGGACTCCCCTCAATTAACTACATTTGTTTCTGAAACCCATTTAAGACCTTAAAGGAGGGCAGAAATCTAAAGTCTAAATCAAGGCCAGGTTCCCTCCAAAGGCTCTAGGAGAAAATCTTTTCTTGCCTTCTTTTCTTTTCTTGGCTTCTGGTGGTTCCTAGAGTTTAACTTCAGTCTCTGCCCCAACATTCATATGCTCTTCCTAGGCAAATGCTCTACCACAGAGCTACAACCTCAGCAGTTTTTCCTCCTCCTCCTCTTCCTCCTCCTCCTCTTCCTCCTCCTTCTTCCCCTTCTCTTCTCCCTCCTCTTTTATCCCTCTTCCTCCTCCTCTTCTTTCTCATCCTCCTCCTCCTGCTTCTTTTGTGGTTTATTGTTTTATTTTTTGGTTTGCTTTGTTTTTGTTGAGATAGCTGGGCATGGTGGTGCATGCCTTTCATCCAAGCACTGGGGAGGCAGAGGGGAGACAAAATTCTCACTTTGTAGCCCAGGCTGGCCTGAAACTCATAGAGATCAGCCAGGCTCTGCCTCCCCAGTGTTGGCACTAAAGGAGTGCCACTATACCCACCCAGCCCTTTTCTTCTCTTATTAAGACATTTAGTCCTGAATTTAGGACCCGCTCTAATCTAGGATGCTATTAGCTCAAAATCAATTAGCCCTGTGGCAGGTCTCTGAGGTCCAGGACAGCCAGGGCTACGTAGTGAGACATAGTCTCAATTTAAAAAAAAAAAACAAACTATCACTTAATTACAATTAATCAGACTGAAGCAGAATAGAAAGACTAGGAAATTATTGTTACAAGTAACAATAAGTAGAAAGCTCTTTCTGGTCTACAGAATAGACTCTCTGGTCTGGGTAGAGACCTAACATTCCAGTTGAGCCAGGTCAGGAAGATGGGCTTACCTTACGGCATGCTAAAGAGATAGGTGGAGCTAGATGTGGTAGCCCACACCTTTAATCCCAGTACTGGAGAGCTGGAGGCAGGTGGATGTCTGTGAGTTCAAGGCCAGCCTGGTCTACATAGCCAGTTCCAGGTCAGTTGGTGCTACAGGGAGACCCTGTCTCAAAAAGACCAAAAAGGGGGTGGGAAGGGGGGAAGGGATAGGTGGAAGAGTTAATGCTTTAATGAGATAATGTATTTTTCCTGCCCAGAATGCAGTAGCTCATCAGGCCATGGACAGTTTCCTAAGTCTGCCCTCTCTGAACTTTTTTAAATTTTTGTTTATTTATATTTTCTTATGTGTATGAGAGTTTTGCCTGCATGTAAGTACACCAGTGCATGCAATGCAGAGGCCAGAAGAGGGCATCAAATCTCCTGGAACTGGAATTATAGCTGATTATTAGCCACCATGTGGGTGCTTGGAATAGAACCCACATCTTGTACAAGAGCAGCCAGTACTCTTAACCACTGAGTCATCTCTTCCCTGATTTCCCCAGCATCATGTGGTGATTACAAAGAGACCCCAAAATCCCAATTACATTATGGAGACATGAGAAGTGAGAGGAGACCCTCATTCCCAATTCCAACTGAAGTCTCTAGCCAGCCAAGAAGTAAGAACTCCAGCACAGTTAACATTTTCTGTAAAGACTGCTGGCTGGAGAGCTGGCACAGCTATTAAGAGAACTGGCTGTTCTTCCAGAGAACCCAGGTTTAAATTCCAGGACCCACATAGTGGCTAACAACCATCAGTTAACTACCATTCTAGGGACTCTAATGCCCTCTTCTGGTCTCCACAGGCCCATTGCATACATATAGTGCACTTACCACATGCAGCCAAAATACTTGCACATATTTTTTTTTAAAAGACTGCTGGCTGGGCATGGTGGCACATGCCTTTAATCCCAGCACTCAGAAGGCAGAGGCAGGCAGATCTCTGTGAGTTCAAGGCCAGCCTGGTCTACATAGTGAGTCGCAGGACAGCTGGGGCTACAGGGAGACCCTGTCTCAAAAAGAGGGAAAAAAAAGACTGCTGACATAGTTAAGCCAGTTGCGGTAACACATACTGATAGGATATCCTATAGAGTTAATATTCCTTTCATATATAGATATTTTATGTTAAAATAGCAGTGACCAGAATGTATATAACCTTGGGCAGGGCCTTGTTACTTTTTACAGATATAGCCTGAGAATCTCAAACAAAATTTAACTTTGTTTACTACCCTATGGGCTAGATTTTTACCTTACCAATTCTAAGCCTGTCAGTTGCCACTCAGAAGCTACCCAGTGATAAGACAGTAACTTCAGACATCACAAAGATCCTATACGTGGCTATTGTAAAACAAAGACTCTCCCTGGAGCACATGCCCACAGGAGTATGCCTTAATTCCCGATGTTTGTTTTTGAGAACTCCACACCCATGGCTCTTGGGTAGGTCTTAACATCTTCCGGGCACCTTTTCTTCACCTAACCCTGTGCTTATGCCTATATTAAAATAGATGTAATAAAATCTCCAGCTCTGCTTCATAAACTGGCTAGTCCTGACATTCTTTTCCACA